CCCGGCCTTCCTGGGAATTCGTGTGAGCAATATTCTTGATATCCTCAGGACAGTATTATGAAAATCAAGCATTGGACGGTACTACTGGGAGTTTTGAGGGGGGAAAAAAGGGCACGTTTGCCTTCACACACAATGATTGCCAACGTTTATTTCCTTTTAGTTTTCATACTGCTTTTCCTAGTTTTATTCCCCACCTCTTTCCTAGAAATCAGCTTCTCAGCTATTGTTTACTTATCTCCTTATAGTTTTCTCCCTGGCATAACCTCAGACCCCTTTTAGATTGATTTGTAGCTGGAAAATCAAGCAGTAGCGTTTACATTGCAATTCTACACACATTTTCAATTGTTAATAAAATTATTATTAGTAGCTTGTAAGTGTTGCCACTGCTCCACTCATCGAGTGCTCTGGCTCTGTGATATATCTTTTTAGTTACTAAAATGTTTCCCTCCTCATATTTTGCAACCTGATTTTTCTAGAATACAAAACACCAATTTTCAAATAAGTAGATATAATAAAAAATGTTTGGGACTATGACAAGCACTGTGAATGGTATTTACTTCCAAGCAAATGCAGGTGACATGATACAGCATATATATATTTTTATTAGGCACACATATAGACAGGAAATTCAAAGAAGAAAGAGCTCCAGGTACAGGATCTATTGCCCCGTTGCCTTGAGAAGATCTCTTAGCTGTTGGTAATTTTATTTCCAAGTGCTCTTGTTGACTCAATATTTCAGCCCCACAATTAGAGGCTTGATGACTACACCTCCCTTCACCTCATAGTTCAATCCAGGATGTTGGGATTGAGGGTGGAGCCCTGATACACAAGCAGCGTATCTTCTGCAGTCAGCCAGCCATCCTGCATGTACAGATTCCCAGGCTCTCCCACAAACGACTGGCTCTCCTCAAATTTTCCTCCACGGGAATCCTGTTCCTGCCCCAGGGCAATCTTGGGGTGAGCTCCCACAGAATAACACTGCCTCAGGCCCTTTCTCACCAGAGGCTTCCGATTGACCCCAAATTCAGCAATGCCTGAGGAGGTCTCCCAGGTGGTACAGATGTGCACCAGGGAGAGGACTCCTCCATAAGTCTGAAGGTAACTGTGGTTCTTTCAATGTACAGAGTGTGCTTTCCAGCTCTTTCTTTTTTTATTTATTATTATTATTATTTAAAAAAATATATTTCTATTGTCCGCCTCTTTCTTTAAAATCATTATCATTGTCTTGGATGCTGTAGGAGAAGAGGCTATAGGCTCAGGAGAGGTCACTATCGGCTCAAAAACACAACATAAAGTTCTGCAGAGGTTTCTCAACCTCTGTGATCAAGTTCACGTGATCACCAGAAGGTTCTCTAGGGAACACAAACACCTTCCCATTGAGGTCTGTGAAATAGAGAAATATAATGACCTTCTTCATAACTATCATATTCCAAGTTTTTCCTTATCTCATACTCCGTGACCATCCCCTCACCACCCTACCTGTCTGAGCAAAGGCTTTCAGGAGAATGGTGAGGGGAGAGACCCATAGCAACAGCTCCTTTGTGTGCTGGGCCTAGGGTCTTACAGCAGCAGTCACCAGAATGAGGAGACAGACAGCAGAGTGGTTGTCTACCCCGCTTTCAAGATTCACACTCTTAGACCTCAGGCTCTTCAGGGATTATGTGCACCGATGGGTGAGGATGGGGCATGGAGAGCACCAATAATGGGAGCGATTTTCCAGGCCTGCCCCTGGTGCCAACAGTCGGAGCTACTGATGGGGATGGAGGGGTGAGCCCTGGACTGGGAAATCAATTGAAGTTATTTATGAGATACAAGAGACTGCCAGAGCTCCAACCCCACTGCACCCAGATTCTGGCGCTGGGAAGAGAGTGGCTGTGGAGCTGTAGTATGTGGATGAGATGAGAGGCCACGTCAGCCAGGTGAGGAGGGCCTCAGACTCTGCTCCAGCCGCCCCTCTGTCTGACGCTCAGCTGTAAGCTCCTGAGTCATGGGGAGGGTCTCTCTGAGCTCAGGACTCTTGTGGGCTCTGGGCGCAAGGCTTCTTTTTCCTTTTATAGTTTTGCAACGTAGTCTTCTGTCCATATGACATTCTGGGATTCTGTTTTCTGCTGAAGACCCTGAAAGGTCTTTTCACTTTTAATTAATTCACTGTTGAGCGACATGTCCACGCCATTGCTAAGGGAAAGGAGAGAATTAGAGTACAGTATGTACTTCTGTCTCTCCGAAGCTTAGATTTTCAGCTACTATTACTCAGCTCTTTTTATTCTCTTGAGTATCATGATGTTTCCTTATGCTAGATTTCCCATTTTCTCATTATGACTAATTTTTCCTGGTCATTGCCAACTCTCCGCAGAGACGTCAGCACCTCAGTTGGTTTTCCTCTCTTTTTCTTGGAGTCTCTGGCCATTGCGAGCATATTTACATTAAGCTTTGTTGATGATACAGTTAGTACACTTCACTCACATTTATTCATTAATCCCAGACACTGCACTAGGTGCTGGCTTTCAGTGGTGACTTACCCTGACACAGCCCAGTGACCTGCATCTGTATTCCTTCTGCTACTACTTAAGATGTCACATTTATTAGCCACCACTCAAACCTGTTCTGTCTCTAAGAGATCAAGCTCCTTTCTAGCCACTAGTATTTTTCATCTTTCCTATCCCTAAATGTCATGAAAACTTCATTCTCACCCTATTGTCCAGTCTCTTGTGCATTCGTCTTCTCTCAGCTCACTTCAAACCTTTCAGATCAGCCTTTTCAATGACACAAGAATTCCTTTTCTCTACCATTGTTTAAATTATCCTAATCCTCTGCTCTGGGCAGTTTCTATTCTTTAATTTTTTTCCAGGGTGAATCCAGATTCCAACACCTTATCAGGCTTGTTGCACAGTAAGGGTTAGTGTTGGAGTTAAGATTATACACTTGATTGCCTCCTGAATGAAGTGCCGATCCTGCACCTTGGAAGCCAATGCCATTCACAATCTGGCTCCAGCCTGGTCCTCTCCTCTTAGACTCTGTCCTCTTAGTTAAATGCCTCACTGGCTCTTGATACATGCCTGGCTTTCCTGATTTTATTACTCCTATTTATTGCCTTCAGTCTGTCTTGAATTCGTCATCCATCTCTGTTTTGTAAAATCCTAACCGTTCTTAAAAACCAATCTGGAAAGAGATTTGTTTCATGAAGACTTTTCTGATGTCTCAATTAGACATTATTTTCACCTCTTTTTAATTTCCCATAGGTTAAGGTCAAAGACTTTGAAGGAGTGTTTAGTAATGGTTGGCTATTGTGAAAGTTATTTAATCTCTCTGAATCCTGGATTCCTTTTCTGCAAAACAAAGATAAAATTATCCACCTCATAGTGCTTTTGTGAGGACAAATGAGATACCACAATATGCATGAAGTGCATGGAAACATGTCTAGATGGTTATTGTTATTATTATCATTTTAAGGCCTTTTATGGGTATTACCATTGTCTGTCCCATATTATAGATATCAGTGTGTTTACCTCTTACCCTCTCTTGATTGAGGCTGGGTCTCAGGTACTATGTATTTTTAGATCACCTATTTTAGTTAACAATTATTCTTGCCCATGAAAGTAGCCCAGTATATATTTGGGGGATCAAAAGATCAAGTAGGACTTTTACATAAAACAGTTTAGTAGCAATAAAAAGTAAAGTCTAATTAATAGGAGCAGGTCGTGCTAGAAGTAGAAGCTGGGAAGTAGCCTTCATTGGGAACCCAGGGACCACGCAATTCCTTTCCCCAGATATTAATTAATGAGTGCTATACAATTTAGAGTATACAGGGTTCACCAGCTGCTTCTAGTTTTCATTGTAAATGAATAAATTACCATTCTGACAACCAAAAATGGTTTTGAGATTAATGCAGAAAAGAATCTTTTTAAATTGGAAATGAGGCTGTGGACCAGCCTGGGAGATGAAGAGGTCATACTACTATTGGGGCAAGTGTCAGGGTTTATAGCTGGACATGAAAGTGGCATGTTCAGACACTGTCAAGAGGCAGGCCCTGCTGGAAAGCAGGTGTCAAAGTAAAATGAGGAAATGGGAGGGGAGTGGGGGACTGATTTCGTTCTTTAGTTTACTTCTCTGGAATATGTGTTTTAGGCCTTGAAATGGAACAGATTGAGTTTCCGGAGTCTTCAAAGCAGAAACTGAGGATTCTTTCTGTTGCACAAAGCAAAGCTCTGAGATCAGAATATAGCAAAATGAATCCTGGGACTTCAAACTGGGTGGAGCTCTCGAGGTGAATCTATCCTCGTGGTTACTGAGAGGCTCCTGGGTGTCTTCCTGCCAGTGAAAATTCAGGCGAGAGGTGGTTCTTGCCTGGATGGCTCAGAAACGATTACAATTAGAGAAGGAAAGATGACAGTGTTTTGGATAGAAGCACGGCTGCCAGTGTGCTTCAGGTAGAACAGCCGTCATTACATCAATTGGCAAAAGTCTGCTTTGGGAGAGGGTGGGAGAAAGGGCATTGGCAGTGCCAGAGAGAGAGCATGGCATAAAGTCAGAACTGGAAAATGGCAGAGGTGTGAGATCTAACTGAAGATTACCCCAGCGATTAAATAATACTTTAAAGACACCTTCTTCAGGCCTTGGGTGTTTGTGGAAGACAAAGTCATAATAACCATTGGGAAAGACTGGATAGAAAGTTTGACAGAGAACATGGGGTAGAACAGGATTTTGGTGCTGATAAAGAATTATTTGCCATGAATTCTGTTAACTATAAGGAGACATAAGAGCATTTATTTGTAAGAGATGGAAAGAGGCCACGGAGGCATCAAGAGTAACTGAGTTCATACAACTGCATAGCAGGTGATAATCTAGGGCACACAATCTCAGGCTGGCGGCAGGGTCTTACCATACAAGAGCAAAAAGGGCAAAGATTAGTTTTTTTTAAAAATCCTCACCTGAGGATATTTTTTCCATTGCTTTTCACAAAGGGTGCAAGGGAGAAAGAGGGGGGCAGATAGAGAGAGATCAATATGAGAGAGACATATTGATTGGATGCCTCCGGCCCAGGCCCTGACAGGGGCGGGGGATCAAGCCCGCAACCAAGGCACGTGCCCTTGGCCAGAATCGAACCCGGCACTCTTCAATCCGCGGGCCGCTCTAACCGCTGAGCCAAACCGGCCAGGGCAAAGATTAGATTTTTAAAAATAAAAACCTATAGAATCAAATTTTACTCTAAATTTCTGCTTGTGGATGGTTTGGAAGAATGTGGTGCTACTGGTTCAGATAGAACAATTGAGAGGAAGTTCGTTTGGAAGAGTTAGAGGGCAACTGAGAAGTCTGGTTTCTAAAGTGCTAATTCTGAAATGATAGTATAACCTACAAAGAGCAAAGACCGGTGGAGAACTTGAAATATGTGAGTGCCACCCAAGGTTAGAAATATAGGTTTCAGAGGAATCAACATCGGTGATGGTGAAACAAAAATAAATTATCTCTTTTAGTGGAATAGAGGAGAGGAAGAGAGTCAGAGAGCCCAGCACTGACTCAGGGGAGCACTCGTGCTCCTGGGGTTGCAGGCAAGGGAAGAGTCAGCGAGGGAGACAAAAAATGTTTGCCGAAGAGAAGCGTAGTGTGTGTCGTGTCATGGAAACTAAGTTTTTATAAGTTTCCAGGAGGCAGTGTTCAGTGGGGTCACATGCTTCAGAGAGATCTAAGTAGAAAGAATGCTGGATGTAGCAATAAAAACGTCATCGGTGACCTTTAAAAGAGCCATTTCCGTAAAGTGAGCGTGGCAGAAGCCAGGCAGCAGGGTATGATGAAGGGAGAAAAGGCAAGGGAGCCTGTGTCCTGAGCTTTAATAATCCTGACAAAGATCACAATGAAAGAAGCAAGATTCTCTGTAAGGGACTCAGGCTCCGGTGTGTATTTCCCATACAGATTATAGACGGTCTCTTTTTGACAGAGCGGCTTTTGTGCCTCTGCTTCCCACCCCATAATATTTCAGCCAATGACAGAAAAACATTAGTGCCCACCTCATATTATGAGTGACCTTTCTATCAAAATGCCAGGCTCCAGATTGCTGGCAGGCTCCTACCTTCCCTTCCCGGTTCTGGCACAGTCACAAACTGGCCTATCCCTTTCCAGGCCCTGTTGATGTGTAAAAGTCGTTCTTTGACTTCAATGCTCTGTTTCTAATTTTAGGGTTCATTTATGAACAAAATCTCTGCTAAGTTTTTCATCTACTCTTGGGTTTAGTCCTACATCTAGAACATGCTACCTTAATGAAACTTTACTTCGCATTCAGAATTCAACTGAAACTCCTCTCTAGAATGCCACAATATTTATTTCTCTCTCGTTACCCTTTCCTACATCTCTAAATTACCACTCATTTATTTTGGAACCACTCATCTTCATAAACTTATAAAATTTACCTTCGTTGCTCAAATAAATTTTTGTCTTTTTTTTTCAATCTTTTAAAAAATTTATCTTTATGGTTGAAAGTATTACGGGTGTCCCCTTTTTGTTACCCCGATTGATCCCCTCCACCCCACATCCGCCTTCTCCACACTGTTGTGTGTGTCCATGGGTTATGCATATCCACATCTAAGTTCTTAGGTTAATCTCTCCCCACCTACTCCTCACCCCCGCCTTCCCTTTGAGATCCCTTCGTCTGTTCCATGCTTCTGTGTCTCTGGATCTATTTTGTTCATCAGTTTAT